CTGTTTTCCTCCCTTGTATTTCTTCCACCGTTTTCTCTAGTTGCTCCACTCATCCCTCCATTCTCATCTCTGCCATTTCCCAGGACAGTACCACTCTGATACCAGAATTGATAGAAATCATAATCTAAAGCAATAACTTCAGGAAAATATGTAGCTGGTACCCTCTTTACTATATGGAAAATGAGAGAATACAAGTCTTGCTACTCCCTGCTAACCAGGAAGCTTGATATAACAGGAAATAATGCAACAAGAACACTATGCAAATGGCACCCACAGTCCAGTTTTCAAGAGACTAGACACCTCTCATCACTAATCCCACTAATCGTCTGCCTACTCGGTTCCCCTCCTTCCCCCTTAAAATGCACATACCACTCTGACATGTCAAGACCGCAGGAGATCGTGACACAGCACTACCAACTTCCCCATTCAGTCCCTCTTTCTCTTGTGCACTATATTCTGGGCCTGGCCCACCCTTCTCAGCCCTTCTCTTGTAAACTCAGCCCCAAGACTTCCTAGGCCCATCAGACCCTCTGTGAGGTACTTCTTCCATTTGATTTGGGTTTTGATTCCTGGTTGAATGGTATTGTTTTGTTGCTGCTTAAAGCATTATTCCTCATGTTTGAATGATTAAATGTTACTTGAGATATTATTTAGATTCAATTAAACTTGCATGGATAATAGTTCTAGTTGTTGGGATATCCAAAATGAAATTGCCTTGCTGGTTTGGTGTTTAGAGATTTATTTTCTAAATTGTTATGCCCAAATTTTTTATTCAAATTATTGAATGTTAGTTGAGATGTTGTTATTGAAATTGAGTTGCTACTGGTTTGCTGTTTCATTGTTTATTTAAAGTCAAATAGAGGGCATGAAGCATAGGAAATGCTTATTTTTAAACCATTATGCTGTTGAATTTTTTTCCAAATGAAATGGCACGTGATTGAATTTTTTTCAATTACTAGTTGTTAACAACTAGAGTTGCCAGTTGTTAACAATCAGAATAGTAGAAGTATAATTAAAGAGGGATAACATGTGATAACTTGTGACTAATTGATTTTCTATCTTTGTTTAATTCTCCTAATATCTTTGAGTCACTGATCACATTTCTCTCTAAATGATTCATGTTAGTTGGGGACTATAAATAAGAATAGATATTTGCTAATTATCTATCAAAGAAATATTGGGAAGATGTAGAACATTTTGTTAAGTTTGCGGTTGAGCATACCGATGATCACAATAGGATTATTTGCTTTTGTGTTAAATGTTGCCTTCTCAAGTGGGTTCCGCTATCTAATTTGTGAGAGCCACTTAATTATTAATGGGATCAATCAAAGTTATAAGTGCTCGACAAAGCACGGGAAGATCAGAGATGTGAGTAATAGTAGTCGAAGGCATAGTGAAAGTTGTAGATCACCTAATTTTGATATAAGTGCATATGAAGCTGATCGTCTTGAAGATATGGCCAAGGTGATTGAAGGGGAACTCGAGGATTGTCCATCAATGTTTGAAAGGTTGAAGAGTGAGGCAGAAACACCCCTGTATGAAGGTTGCATCGAGTTTACAAAATTATCTGCAGTTTTAAATTTAACTTGAAGACAAGAAATGGGTGGAGTGACACAAGCTTCATAGAATTGCTTTTGCTTGTGAAACAAATGCTACCAAAAGAAAATGAGTTTAATGGGGATCCAAGCAATTGGCCGTTTATGGTTTCATTGTTTAATAGGTAACATGAATATAGTTTATTCATATTTAATTTAATTTCTTGTTTCTATATAATTTTGACAATCATTAATATTTAATTTTATTGTCTTCTCAAAGTTTTGTGACTATACCGCACAGATCAAGCCTTACCATGCCCCTGGTCAAAGACAGCCAATTCGACTCAATGTTCCCATGAAAGAAAGTAAAGGTATTCATCACTATTATTTACTATTCAACTAAATATAGTTTATTCATATCATTGAATAATATATTTTCCTTTCCTATTTTTTATAGTGCCCATGTCAACCAAGCGAAGGCTCGGATTATGGGTATTGCGTGATGAAATTCATGAAGGAGATACCCATGCATAATTTGGACATAATCCCTATAAAGGTAATATGCATTTGTTAAAGTTTAATTTACATATTTTAGAATTATACTTAGTATAGCTATACGTTTATATCTAACTTTAATTTGCTTTTGCATATAGTATTTTGCCGACACATATTACACCACGTATTCATCCACTAAGATGGAACAAATCGTTGAAGAGTTGGCAATGGCTTTGCATTGTCAATGAACACAAAATAGATAGGGAAGTAGAAGAGTATTTTGGATTCAGTATTATGCTTTTAGTTTTAGTATTGAACAATTTTGTTGTGGTTTTTGACAATTGACCAATTTTAATTTTGATTGGTTTTTTGATTTTTCCTTTCATTCTTGTCCAATTTTGATTTGGCTTAGACCACATATATCGTATGACATTTGGTTTGTTGAGATATATATAATGCAAATTTCTATTTGGTGGTTAATTGGATTCATATGACTAAATTATTAAATGCTAGCTTGATTTTGTTTATTATAGTGCTGCTTTATGTTTCTTTCATAATACAGAAAGCTGCTAGAAAAGCAGCTTCTCTTTTAACAAAAATTCTAAAAATACTTGACAGTTATTGGTTTATAACCATCAAGTATTTATCAATGTTGATAAATACTTGACGGTTATTGAACATAACCATCAAGCATTCATCAACAATACTTGACAGTTATTCCAATAACCGTCAAGTATTTATCAACGATACTTGACGGTTGTTGCAATAACCATCAAGTAATTGATACTGATACTAGACGGTTTTACTTTTAAAATTGTCAAGTATTATAGTTATCCATCCAAATATATGATGCAAGCATATTTGACGGTCAGTGCATACATTAAAAATAATGTCAAGATGCCGAATGCACTTTCACCTCACATCATACTATATATTAGACTTACATTCAAAGTAAGCATCCTGGTTAAGGTCTTTCCAATCATGGTTTGTCTCTATGCTAGGAGTGACAAGGTTGTAACACGTGATTGGCCTTTCCAATGGAGACTTGGATTGTTTAAATGCATGTTTAGAAGGCTAGGACCCAGTAGAACCTTGGGAATTGAATGGAATCCTTCTCAAACCCTTTATCGCATTGGAACTTTCATCCTTTGACTTTCTTTTTCATTTGTTATGGGAAATGAATGTTCCAATGAGGTTGACAATAATTTACCGTCAAGGCAATTGTTTGGTCAAAAGGGTGTAAGAAATGAAACATACAACTTGTGGATTGTAGTGGCTTCTCAAGTGTCATGGTTAGACTTGAGAGACACTAGAATGGAATTTCAAGTGATAAGCTTAGGAAGTGAACATAAGTCAGAAGGCGACCGAACCAGGATAAATTTCTTATGCAATCTTTCTCTACAATGCTTTCTTGTCTCTTTAATGATATTTCCTCTATTCCTAACTTGTTTATTATTTTTGCATTTGATTTCTAAAGTGATTTAAACATTTCATTATCACCTAATTCTTTTCAATGAAATTTTGTGCTGACGGATATCGGGTGGAAGTTGATGGGCTCGACAGAGTCTGTGGTGGAGTTTGAAATTGATCATAAATCTGGAAAAAAATAAAAAAAACCTTGCCACGTGCTTCTTTGACGCCATAGCCCGCCATATGCTAGGGAAATGAGCCATCCAGCAAGCTTAAGTGCTCACAAATATACAAGGGGAAATTATCACTAATATATATTACCTCTTGTTCCAAATATAAAACCTAGTTGTCTAATTCGAAAAGCTTGGTGACTGTTAAGTACCTCTTGTTAATGTATGAATTAGTTAAATAATTTATCCTAATTAATTAACTAAAGTTAGTTATTTGTAAAAGTATATTAATTCTCAAAATTTTTTCCCAATTATAATTATTGATATAGTTTATTTATCATACAAGAAATTAACCGAGTATAATTCAGAAAAAATAAATATGATTAAAAAAATTAAAATTTTGTATTTATAACCAAATTAAATCCTATAACCGTTTCTTATATTTAGAATTGAAAAGAATACACCATCTCACTCGCTATCCTATGCCCTTGTGGTTTCCAGCCATCCATTTAAACCATAGAACACTAGTTGGAGTGCTGGCATCCAAACAAAAAGAATACATTTCCTCCGATCTTTAATATAAAAACTATTTTAACTTTTTATTTTAATCTTAAATATAAAACTTTAATCCACTTTGTTTTTTACATTTATCTTTTTTTTTCCCAAATACACTTAATTATAACACCTATTTATTATTAATAACAACTTAACTAATTTTTTTTAATTTACTCGAATTAATCAATTAATTTTAATATTAAAATCAGGAGGCGAGTAGAAATTGCAACTCATAGCCCAAAGCTTTAAATATTTTGGCTGGTAACTTAGATTAAATAAAAAATTCTGGTCTCATTTATTTTCATAACTCGAACTGTTCCAATTTAATTTTTTTTTTAATCAATTTAGCTGGTAATAGACCGATTTATCCAATTTTTTACCGGTTAATCCCCACCAGACTCTGAGCCTGAGCCAACAACTAAATTCAACTAATTCAACCGGCCAGTCCAACCCGTTTTTCAACCCTTAGAAAAAGAGATTTCAATACAATTTAAGGCAAAAAGGCTAAACTTCCCCTCTCCCACAAATCATAAAATAATCTGGTAGATATTTTCAACTTTATCATGGGAATTCCACGGTTCACATCATTTTCCTTCACTTCATTTGGTTTCACTACATATAATCACGTTTGCACTGAGACAATTTTTCTCACATATTTTGCTTGTACAGCACAAAAGTGTTTATTTTGAACATGAAAACCAATTATCCATCTAATTTCCTTCCTCATGTGTTAAGAGCTCTCATCTTTTCATAGTGCACAGTAAGTTTGCCGTTTATCAAAATAGGACCTAAATGATATAGCAACGCCCTGATAATCAAGTCCAAATAGACAATGTTAAAAGGAAAATATCAACGTAAAAATCACATGAAACCTTTTTCCCATTTACACTTTCATTTTTACTTATTTTCATCCAGTTTTAACAAGTGAGCTCCATATCATGCCACCATCCATAGTATTTTAACTAGAATCGGGCAACTGCCTCTATTCATACTTTCCCGAATGGATGTTTCTGTCTTTCCCCTTATAACTTCATAATTTACACACAAAATGAATTGTTCATAGATAAAACAAAAATTTCAAAAGCTATTTCACCTTGATATATGGAGAACTCTATATTGGTCAAGGGGTTGCTCATACCCCTGCAATAATTTTTTTCCCCTTTAAATGTTAGATATATTTGAATATAATATCAAGTTGGCCTATGTTGAAATTGCAGCCATTCTAGCTTACCTTAGAGAAAGCTTAAATAGCTAAGAATTACTCAGTCCAAGGAATCATTAGCTTTTACGTCAGAAGATGATCAATCATATGGCGTATGACATCTGCACCTTCTAGATGCGAGGTTTGGTCTTTGACCTGCAAAATAAAGATTTATTAAAGATAGCTGAGAAACGAAAAAAGCAAGGTAAAAGATCTAACCTAAGAAAGAAATCATATATGTATGAAGACTAATTAAGAAATGATAGCATCATTCAGAGTAAACTTACAATTTGGTTCGAGAGTACCATTTAAATGTAGCCTCAGAAAATGCAAGGACACAACCAAATTTAAAAACTTATGGCATATTTATTTTATTTTAATTTGGTCATGTCAAGGAATTCATGGATGTCATAAGAATCAATTTATAACAAATTTCCAAGAACCGATGGTGTATTAATTGATTTCATGGTCTAAAGCAAGGGAGGCTTAATGATTTAGATTAAAAATCGCTACTTTAGCCGATCACTCATCATGGATTAATAGTTATACACAAGTGCAAGCATAAGAGGAGAGCAAAGCCGGAAGCATATTCCATGCTCATCACAATGATGAGTGTGGGGTTTTCATTTTAATTTGGACTATCCATATTGATTTTGAATGGTTTAAATTGAATTTAAATTTTTTATACATTTTAATTAATGTTTTATTTTAATAGACACAGAATTCAGAATAAAGATAATCTTATAACTAACACTGCTTTAAAAAATAAATTTATCATTGAAAAAAATTGTATATTAAAAATTTTAAATCTAAACCATCCATATCAAATTTTGAATAGTCTAAATTGCATTACAGCAATGAGTATGGTGCACTCATAGTTGTGATGAGCACTAAATGAGGACCAGAGCAAAGCCAAGTGAGTGAGATACAGACCTGAATGATACTATGAGCAGCAAATCTCTGTCTACTACTGTGAAAACTAACATCTACCTTTTCCCATGACACACGAGATAAGCCTGTCACCAGCTCCTCTGCAAGAAACATTAGAGCTAAAAATCAGACGATCTGCAGATAAGAAAGCAAATAAACAAAGAGCCTATGCATAACTCTATTTACAAATTCAAGCAACAGTCGAGTCTTATTGGGAAGGAATGATTACATGAACGTTGCTCACTTTAACTCTGAAAAATAGCAGATGCCAGTAGTATTTACAAAGAAAATGGAGTCTTTCTTCTAGATTTGACAGCCATCCATTTAGGAAGAGGGGAGCCTTAAATTCAAAAGATCATTCGTCAGATTTTAAAATTTCACTGTCATCATTTTGAAAGGGCAAGTTTAGAGTGAAATGTTCTAGAATTGCCGTTGTCAAAAATTGAAATGGCAGAGAGGCAAGGTTTATAAATGCTAGCTTGGCTGTGCTTTGAATTTTTCCCCCTTTTTTCCTTTTGGTTTAACCTGTTTTCTTAAAAATAAGCATCTCAAAAGCCCTATGACAGTTAATATGACATTTATTAAGGTCCAAATGAAGATGGACTAAGAAAAAAGGACCAAGTCAAAAAGTAATATCATTGCATTCTAGCTAGAAGTAACTGATTGGAAAAGGCTAACGTGACTCGAAGAATTCATATAAGCAAGAGAAGCCAAGCACATGACATATGAAAAAGGCAACTAGTGCAGGTTCAAAATAACAGCACTCAAGATTAAAGGGGGAATACAAGGTACAAACCTTCAATCTTATCAGAGCTTTCATCTAATAAATCACACTGCTCAGCTTCACATGCCTTGCAGTGTTCTTCATATACAACATGTGGATATTTTTCATTTACTGTATTCTCCCACTGTCGACCAAAAGATATTTTAAACTAAAATGCAACTGAAGATCAATTAAATCATTCAAGAGTTCATAAGTTGTGCAAATAACCAAACCTTCGGAAGTTCATTATTTCTTCTGATAGATGATGTTCTCCAGCCAACAATATCTTGAATGTTAAATATAAAGAAAAGCAATTTAATTATTTAATATACGCAGTGTAGACTGAAATATGCCATAACAATAAGCAGAAAGTAGTATATACTAAGGATACGATCATAGCCCACATTTGAATATACAATCCGGCGTTTAAAAGTACGCAACGCAGACCTGCATAAAGCGAGTCAGGGTCTTTGAGACAAAAACCCTTTATAAAGACAACAACATGAGATATGCAACAATCATACATGAAATGAAGTTCCTCAAAATCTTCTAGCATGCGTTTGAGCAATGGTGGCTTTCCTTCATCAACATCAGTAAGGAAAAGATGACGACCAGTTCTTCTAAAAATCAAATGAATAACACAGCTTGCAAGTTTCTCAATTGCAGGTACACCAAAAAGAAATGGAACCTGAACGTCAAGACCCAGTCAACATGTTTAAATACCGGCACAGAAGAAATTAATTTAACTAGTTCAAGCATATGATAAGCTTAACAAAAAAAAAAAAAAAGAACTTAAATTGATCCCAAACTGATTTGGAGATACGTACAAACAGATAGATAACCTACAAGTTGGTACAATATACAAACTTTGAAGCAAATAAATTATATGCAGGAGCTAGAAGAATGTCTTTGTACATCAAACAAATAGAAAGAGTCCAATTATCATAATGATGTTAAGTTTCTTAAGTTTCAGATGTAACCATTCCCTGAATAACACAAGGGACCATTTAGCACACAATCTAAGACCTGGTTGTATGACATCATACAAAGCAGTCCACCTTGTATCGCATGTTTGGTGCCCAGCTATATCATATAGGCCTATGGAGTCAACTCCAATTAAACTTCGCTTATTACCGTGATCATTATATCATTTATTCAGGTCTCATTTGCCTTGTCCAGACCTGATTGTATGAACGGAATAAAATATCAACAAATTATCACAATAATTGTGTGCCTCCTTTTTCTGACACAATGTATCAGCCCAGAGTTTTGTTATCATAAATTTATTAGCTATCAGATGTAGGCGCAGATTTTCAAGATCACTTAATGTTGACAACATAAAGGAAGTTTAAACATAAGATGTCGATACCTGCTTATTGCCCCTAGATCCCAGATGAGGGGTAGCAACAGTAATGAAATTCATTGCCTCTAAGCCACATATGGTACCACTTAAGTCTTCTTTACTTTCTGTAGTGCATGAGTCATCCATGCATTCTCTTTCAGACGGCCTATACAGTCTCCCAATTGCATACCTTGCCACTAGTCCTCCCACAGAGTGGGCAACAATGGATATCTTACGCATGTTGGGCTTTCTTCGGATAACATCAATAACCTAAAAGTTGGATTATGAATTGACAGCGATTAGGATTATGTACTTGATGCCATGGAGTATAAAGATAAAAAAAAGGCTTCAAATATCATCATGTATATGGCCAATAAATGGAAGCTTTCAAAGTTAAAATGTTACTTATTAAATGAAAAATGTTGATTTTAGCACATACCACTGTTCATAACTCATCCTCTTTCTTACCAGGTTCGTTATCTTATAAAGAAACTCTTAGGAAACGTTCCCAAATAGACAAAGCCATATGGGTTTTCAGCCCAGAGAGTCAGAATCTTACATCACTTTAAGTATAGAAAAATGGTAAGGCTTCTGTTTTGTCATACATACATGAAAATTTCATGCAGACCACATACAATAATCTTTAAACTAACGATGTACAATTAGTAGCAGAGTGATGGGCCTGTTAAATGATGGGGCTGAGCCTATAAGAGGAGAGCTAAGTGGGGACGATCAGCCCCAAACCAAAATGATGATAGTAGTGGACATGGAAAAGAGGGGCAGAATAAGAATAATGCTTGTTAGAGATGGCTAACAATTTTCTGACAATGTCAGGGTGGTGGGAAGGTGTAAAAAGGGAGTCGGAGGAGGCATTGTGGGGGAGGACAACTGTAGTATCGTGAGAAGAGGGCCTGGTCTCTCAAAATACCAGATTTGGAGAGGATTGCTCTTTCGTTCTTGTTAATTTTCTGATTGTCAGTGCTAGTTTTCTTTAGCAGTGAGGTGAAGATAGCTCAGTTGAGGAGAACACAGTCAGAATCAGTGATTGTATTCCTCTACATTTCCCAACAGTAATAGAGGATACTAGGAATTTGTTTCAACATATAGTGGTAAGAAAATTTATTTACTAAGCTTACTGTACTTAGATACATAATTTCGACAGAAGTTATGAATACAAAATGTTTAATTTAAAATTCATTCAATGCTAATAACTCTAAGATATTCTTCATCTTTATTCAACAAAATTTTAATGGCACATATAGTAAATAAGATTAGAAAGACAATCGATAGTCAATGCCTCATTAGAAATTATCGAGTCATCTCAATTTCAGGTTCATGCAGGAAAATTCAACAAAATCTTGTATCGATTTAGACACTGACCTCCTCTGCCAATCGCTCCCCCATTACATCCACACCATCCAGGGTCAACCTAGACACATTTCGTTCACTACCTGGATAGAAGAAAATGAGGGAAAAAGTAAAGACCAAAATAAGAAACATATAAAAAAAATTTGTAAGGGCCCTCTCAGCTTAATTGACGAATTTCATGAGATATCAAGGAAACAGCCAATAGTACCCAAATATTGAATGTGAGAATATGGATAAAGTTGGACTAAAATCCATTGAATCAACAATGAATGATCAATCATGCATTTGTTTTATGAATACAGTTAAGTAATAAGTACTTCACAACAAGTAAGCATAAATGTGAGAGAAAGAAAGAAAGTTGTTCAGCAGCCTTTTAAGAATTTAAGTTGCAGCAGTTACTAAAGGGGACAGTTGGGAGTGATGGCAGGAAAAAGGGCTGGCCAAGTTCTGAGAAACTGGAGACTTCACATGTAAAGTTAACAAATTCAAAGGGGATAATTTGAATGATGTTAAACTCTCATGACGCTCTCCCAAGCAGAGTTGATAATAAGACTTAAAACTAGAAATAGATAACAAAGAGTGGGAATAACTTGAAACGGATGATATTATTGCTGCATAACTAAACTGGGATTACAAGGGCTGAGATGACTTATGACAAACACATTGCCCTCTTACGCTCAGATGCACAAACAATTAAAATAACAGTGACAAACTAAGAAGAAACAGAACACAGACACACAACACTATGATACTATAGACTCTCTAAAACAGAACAGGGTTGCCAAACTTTCGAGAGGTTGGCACTCTCCACCCAAAGGCCAAAGCCACACTCCAACATTCTTCTCTCCCTTCCTCTGTGGACCAGAAGAAGGATTTAAACACCCAAAAAGTGACAAGCAGAGCCCATCAACATAACCCCATAGCTTCTGCTAAAAGCAAGCCTACTCGTCTATGTCTTTCTTCAAAAAAGTAGGATTTTCTAAGTCAGTGCTCTGACCAACAAAAGGAGACTCTCCCTTTTCATGTATTTTCCCAATTTTACTTTTGTATTTCAGATCAGCAAAAAGCAGTCATATCATAAACATAGAACAATTCCCTGTTAGAGAACTTCGCTAAGATTAGAACAAATATTAAAATGGAAAAGCATCAGAGAAAAGATCAACCACAGTGAGAAGAGAATTCGGATAAACCATTTGAAAATGCAAGGGCTCAAATCATAGCTGGGTGGCCCTATGATTCAAGGAAGTTTGATTAGAGGACAACACCCAAGAGGCAGATCTCAAACGTAGCTCTTCAAGCATGTCATGTCAGATGATGCCGCTTTGAATGGCTACCCCTACTGACTATGAACAGCAAATGGACTTACTCAAAGTCTGAGCCTAGCAATTGCCAACCGTATTATTTGATTTGATGAAAGAACCGTTAGTGAACCAATTGATTTTTAGCCCCATTTAACAGATAAGTTACCAAAAGGAAGGCTTCATTTTCTAAATCAAACATGATATAGAGCATTTAGAATCACAGAAATATTTTGATGTCGCTTTTGTTGCAAAAGAGCCATTTCAGACTTGTCATGACATTCTCAATTTAAAGAAGATCTGGAAAAGAAGAGTGGTCGTTTATTCTTCAATTTAACATCCCACATATTAGTCTAGCAACTGAATTCCCAACTGGGATTCAGGAAGCGGTTAGTAGATGAATATTTATTTTTCATTCAAATCTAAGCAAACTAGGACTAAAATGCCAAGATCACATCGAAACCATAAAATTCCCAGGATTAGATGCTGCTGTAGAGCTCTAGTAGCTGATAAGTAAGCATAAACGTGTAATATGACCAAATATGGACATGATATTCGTCAACAGTAGCAACTTACTAAAAAAAGTAAAAGAAGGATTGCATCATTCTTTAAATTAAAAGAGAACAGAATCTCTTATGTTATGTTGAATTGTAAAATCAAGAGAGAATTACAATGAGGTGCCAAGCAAGGAAAACAATTGAAACACAAGTCCCAGAAGTTGTTATTCCCACTATAAGACTTGTCATTATAAGTTGTTCAGGTTGTTATTGGAACCTTTTGATAATTATTTCACTTCTGTGGGACTTGATTGTAATTCCCCCTAGAATCAATCAAGACTAGTAGTTAGTCAGTAACTTGTTAGCTAGTTGCTGATTATGGATGGAAAGACTAAAATCTCTGTTGTCCGGTTAAGGGGTGATTGGATTGAATTCAAGTGTTCTACTTTTCTTTTGTAGAATCATCACCAAAGGTTTGAATGAAAAGTTTGGTGAAAGATCCTTACAGTGAACGAACACTTTATCAGGAAGCGCTTTAACAAATTGCTCTGCAGCAAACTTCCAATCTGTGGCACTGCAAAAACAGTTAAAACCTCAATCAGCCACTTTACGCAAACAAATTATGAACAAGGAAATATGTGACTATCTAAGTTGCTACGAAGAATTAACCATATAAATGTAAGATTTCAAATTCAATCTTATATGCAACCTTGACAAGAGATCTTTTATTGATGTTAGCAACATATATATATATATATATATATATATCTTCTATTCTACAAAAACAGTAAACACAAATTGAGGGGAGGACAAAAAAAGAAGTAGAAAAGAAGGTCAAGAGTTAAAAATTTAATTAAAAAAAAAAAAACACACACACACACACATCAAAATTAACAAACGTAAAGCAAGTGACATGGAATAAAATGGGTCAGAATTTAAGTCCCTCTGGCATAGTTTTGACCAGAACATTTCACATTTAACTAATTAGCCAAGATTAAGCCACTAGTTAAAAATTAAAAATAATAACATCAAGATGGATCAACATCTAAATTTAGAATTGTATACGAATAGATGATCATTAATGGGAAAGCACAAGATACCTCAGATATTTCAGTAGCTAAATCAGATCATAGAGAGGAACAATATATATATATATATATATTGGCAAACTAACTAATGGAGAACACAACAAACTGATCACACGAAAACATCAGAAGAAAAAGGACCCACTAAGAAATTCATAAGACTTATTCTGATTGAAGAACATACAAATATGCCCCAAGGCGCTTAAATTCATACACGTATTTACAAATGAATATCCGCACAAACCCACGCACATAAACGTTGAAAAATCAGCATTATCAAACCCTGATAAGGAAGGTAGAAATAACCGAACCTTCCCAGGATTCCATTGACCATGACAACTAGATGGTCGGCCGAGGAAGAATCAGATACCTTGGAACTCCACACATCACGACTTCCGTCGACAGACTCCGAGGTACAAACTCCGTTCTGCAGCGCGCCCTTTTCCATGTGGGATTGCTGCGTTTACAAGGCTCAACCAAAACGCTAATCGCAATGGTAAATTAAAAAGAAAAAAACCCCAACGTCACAAAGCATTAAGTGCAGATCACGGGTCGAAAAAAGAGTGCAGTTAACGATAATATCCCGAAAAAATTGAAGAAAAAGTGAAAGCAATCGTTGGAAATGAAGAATGACGTAATGGGAATGAGGAGGTGGGTGGGTGGGTCGGTGAGAGAAGTGGCTCTATGGAAGGCAACACGAGATAAAAGAAGAAAGTGGAATATTAAAGGGTCAGGAGACGAGAGAGAGAGACACACACGCAGACAATAATAATGTGGACGGTAAGGTAACTAGAAGTGAACGCTGAAACAAACTTTCGAAAGACGGCTTTCTGGTTGCCCCAAAAAAAAAAAAAATGAAAAAGGAGTCGGCTTTCTGCCTTTGGTATACAAAGGCAGCCCTCCGAAGTCAAATGTGAAAAATACTTCTAATTTAGTTATGATAAGGTTCCCACTTGATTTGGGGGAAAAAAAATTCATGTGAGATATTATTAAAGGAAAAAAATCTCCAAATATATTTTATAGATAATTTCAAACACACATATCTATATCAATTGCAATTTAGAAAAATGGCTTAATAAGGGAGATTTAGATCATCTTCTTATCCTTTTTCTCTTTTATTTTTTCTCCTCACCACCGTCCCCCTTTGGATTAAAAGTTGATTGGTTGAGATTTTTAATATTACATCAAAAATAAATAAATGTATATTATTAAAATTTGATTTGAAATATTTAAAATTATATACTCCCTCCGTTCCTTTTCATAAGCAACATTGGAGCTTATTACATAAATCAAAATGTTAGTTAAAATAGGTTAAAAACAATAAATGTGTAAAAATTAGAAGTTTTTTCCCCCTAAAATGACCTTATTTATGGGGGAGAGTATAAGAAAGAAAATAAAAAAATTATTATAATAAAGAAAATTATAGAAGAGAGAGAATGTGTGATGGAGAGATGATGGTTTGAGAAATGAGATAATAAATATATTGAGTATTAAAATAAGTAATTAATGAGTATTAAAATAGAGAATTTGCTACAAAAATTTAAGATAACTTACAAATATTGTTTATATTTAGAGACAAGAGCAAGATGGTGATTAAAAGTGACAAAAGGAGTACCATTTAAAAAATAAAAAATAATAGTTTTATGGAATGATGAAGATGAGATGAAGAGAAGAAAATGAAAAGTCTACAAATCCCAAAAAGTCACTTATATATTGAAATATTAAAAATATTCCAATGTACTCAAAATACTCTCACAATTGCCATATGTTTGAACCGTGCTAGTTTTATCTAAATCCAATAGTCACAACTGCATCTGTACATTTCATTTGTTGACAAATTTAAATCATATTATAATAGCGAAAAAATTGTGTCCTGGGAATTGTTACAAATTTTGTCATAAAACCGGGGAAAATATTTTCTTTGAATTTGACCTTAATACTATTGTTTTTTCGGTTATATAGAGAGAATTTGAATTTTAAACATTTATCTACACTAAACCCATTCTTTATTAATTATATTAAGCAAAATTTTTTTGCATGCAATAAAATTAATTTAATCATTATAAGCTTAACTATATCACTTTTATGTTAATTAAGGAGAGATAAAAAGAATTAGATCCATTTAGATTGTACGTTTGTTATTTAATCCCAAAAAAATGGCATGTTTGTTACAATCACTTCCAAACAAACGTTCTTGGATGGCATGTTTGTCCTTTGCCAAATATTTTTTTTTTCTCCTTTTATTTCTTATGTAAAAACTCCACCTCACAGAATCAATTTTGTACATTAAAATCGATTTTATGCACTCACAAAATCAATTTTGATCAGTGAAATCGATTTCGCCATCCTGCTTTGTGAATCAAATACCATAATTTTGATGACAACAAAACTTTGCAAATTTTACAACATATGAATGCCTCACATAATCTTGCAAGGTTGCATTCAATAGATACTATTTATTACTTCATTTGATAGGAAAATCTTTTTTAAAAAAATTGAATTTCAAAATTTCAAATAAGTCTTTTTTATTACATTTTAATAACAACTGACTACATTTGAAAAGCAGATAAAAAAACATTTTTGTAATAGTTCCTGATTTAGAGTTTTGAAATTTAAAAGGTTTTTTTTTTGGGGGATTTTTCCTCATTTGATAGCTTGAAGAACACACTGAATTGGTCACAACTATTGTTCTACGCTGGATCAAATTATTCTTAGCAGCGTATGGAAGACATCAAGTGAAGATTATGCTCCATGGTTTAGTTCTTTAGGAATCTTTGCTTGTAAAATAGTTGTTTGGCTATGCTCTAATTTAAAATGTTTACTCACATACGTTTAATTAACTGATTTAATCTATATAATTGAGATTGATTAGACTGCAAAGTATCGAACTTCTTGAAGCAGTTGAATTTGAGGCATCCACGAAATCTGAAGTTTAGAATCACAACATAGTCATCTACCTGGTTATAATGCTTAACTAAAGAAGATTTCTGAATTATTATTTCATTCCTCTAAACTGTAAGAACTAAGTACAATCATCTACTCATATGCTTCAATGTTAAATGCTCTGTTAAATAAGTTTAATTAGTCATTTATGTGAGCATAGTTGATGAACAGAATTGAACCTGGACTTAATCTATGGCTATGATATGGAAATTGCATTAATACTCAAATTCATACATGCTTATTAATGAGAGTTATTTGTTTATCAGATTGTTGGTCTTAAAGTAATGCTTTCAGAAATATATGGTTATTATTCATTTAGAGAATCATCAGTCTGGTCTCTAACATCCAACTAATTATGCTTCTACTCAATACAATGATGTGTTAATCACTTGCTTGATAAATAGCCGAATAATGTGAGATGTTTTACTCGTTAAAACCTAAATGTACCTATTCGACTATCATGTACTATTTGACTATCGAGCTAAACTACTTTATCTGATAGTTACAACGAATGCTCTCACATAAAAGTTAATTTTAGTGAGTAGTAGCGTTCAAGTGTCTAACGTCTCTTTGAGCTGATAATTTATAAATATGAGTTACATTTAAGTCTAAAGCAATAATCCTGATCATATGAAGTGCAGAAACTTTGCTTGTTATGAGTTTCATTAATTTTTTGGCTTCACAAGGGCCTAGATCAAACTTTTAGGGGAGATTGTATATGTCTTAAAATTTAACCTATTTTAGATAATTTTCTCTACTTGAATAATCACATGGTAAAATTCATTTATCATGATATAATTATTTTCTAATATTATTTCAATCTTAGAAATAAAAATTGTGATGTCATAATTTAACTCTTACTCCAAAGTCCAAACACAATCTTTGAGGACTGCTACTCATTAGTTTTGTTGTTTGGTCCTTATGGTAAAACAGATTCTCCACAAGCTAATTACGGAGTTTAACTTTAGGAATACAAAGTGCTTGGTTGGATTAATTTATTTGAATGCTTATAAACATATTATACGTAAGTCGAATAAAATTTCTCTTACAGACTTGCATGTAGAACTAAAAAATAAGCTTGAAAATTATGAGAGTCGAGTTTGTAATTTTTCTCTTCAAATTAGAAACAGGCCTAATGGGTCGAAAGTCAGCTCATTTAGGCTCTTTATTTTTTATTTTTTAAAATTATTTATATGATGATAATATAATTTTTTTTACATTGTTAATAATATTGTAAATATTCAGTTATCATTATCCTTTTAAAATTGAATTTCATAAAATTTTCATTTATTTGGTTTTAGACAATTATTTGTTTGATTGAACTTTAAAAATAAATTAATTCAGACCTTAGATAATAATTTGATTTATATTATATATGTCAATATTTTTAAACTATATATATTTTTAATAAGAGAGTATTTTTATACTCATATAACTTGTTATTCTATATATATAGCTTGAATTAAAAATTTATGAGTTTCAACTTTAATGTAGCTCAAATTAAAATAAAATAATAACTATACTACGAAACTTGAAAGTGAATTTTATTTGAAGAAAACCTTGATATTTTGGTCACTGAATAAAAGCTTACTCATAATAAAACACAATCAAATATTGTTGACATTGAAGATAGAGATAAAAATCATGTTGATGATGTCACTATTATTTAGTGTTTAGTTTATACTTTGTATGATATTTAGGATAATGACTTGGTTTGGTTTAGTTTTAAAAATCTAGATAACAATTTAACATTTTGGTTTATTAGTATTAATTACTCAAAGTTTGATTTTTATGAAGTCTATTGTTTTACTTTTATGCATATCAAAAAATTTAAATGGACTAAAATCCTGTGGGCCACCTTGAGCCTACCTATACAAGGGTCGGGCTTTGTAAAATGGATACTTTTTTATACACAAGTCTAAACAAGCTAGCTTGTTTACACCTATGGCTCTATAAGGTTAGCCCGACCTATTTTTTTAGTACTATTTACCTCGTATTTTGTAAATCATAATTAAAAAGTTACTTATAAATCTTTTCAAACGAATCCAAATTAAAGTGGACCTGTTCAAAATTTTTTTTCTATTCATATTATTCAAATCTATAATATTAAGGAGTATAGAGCTATTTATTTTTATTTTTATTTTTTCAACTTGATCCAAATATGATAGATAAATTTACTCTCGATTTTAATTCTAGCTAATAAAATTATATGGAGAAACTCGAGAAAATGTTGATACATGTTCTATACATACATATATATATATACTCCTCCAGTTTTAAATATAAAATACTTATACATATTAGTATAATAGTCTAATATTTAGGATCAGAGGAGTATATATATTTGGTCATTGACATCTACATATATTTTGATTTGCTAATGACAATTCTCCAAACTTTTTGGCCATTCACGGATTAAAAAATGCTTCCTGTGGGTAACGTGGAGCTCCAACTTGCCTGCATTATTTTATTATTTATTAATTAATCACTGATGAGATCAGCGTTATGAATCTTTAAAAAGCAGATAAGGACTTCTTATCCCCCTTTTTGTTAAAAAAGTCCAGATTAAAATTTTAGTCTATAAAATTCATTTTTTTTTTTTTACCAACAGAAATATTGAATCACTCGCTATATTCCGATTTTACATCAAAATGAAAATTTATTTATTTCTATTAACCACTGTTAAAATAGTAAA